CGTTCTGTCTTTCAAGAATTTAAACTCTTGAATGTCAGCAGGCCAAAAAGTTAGCTTATTGATGTTAAGTGAGAGATGGTTTGGGGCAGACTGTCATCCCATCTTAACAAATAACCCACTGCCTAAATGTAGGGAATGTTTGCAAGAATATGGGGGAAGACCAGGGATTACAACAAACTGTAAAGCTCTTTCAAAAAGACAGCATAAGCACGATGGTTTGAATGGTCTTCTGTTTTCTGAGATTCTGTGACTACTTGTGGCAGGTTCACAAATAATTTAAGAGTGATGATTTTAGGGCTACACTGCAACATATCAACCACTTGTGGATCTGTACCCTAATCAAGTTATTATTTTACTAAATCTGAAGAAAACTAGCAGAACAATGTGTACTTTAGCAGCGAGAGATGTCCAGATGTTCTGTGCTGCTATATTCTCCAATGGCTTTTTACATAACACGTAAACACAAACAAATTCAACTCTAATGAGAAGCACATCACACAAAAATAATGAACATGGCTCAGGGTATGATTTTGACTTTACAACAGAAACTAAAAATATAATGTCCACTGCCCTACACCAGTTCACAAAGAATGCCAGCAGAATCAAGAAACCAGGTGTTACAGCATCAAAAATAATCATTCAACATCACCAGAAGGAACCTGTATCAATTCAGGGGGTTGCACTGGGTCAATTGTGAAATTCATAGAATTCAAATAAAGCTGCTGTTAGGAGCTTAACAGAATAAATCCAATGTCATTCAATGACCAACAATTTGCCCCATCCATTAATCTGTTATGCCACACCACAGGATCAAAGCATGTCCACCAGTTTAAAGCAACCTTCCTGCTTGTTTGGGACCACATTGATAAATGTCTTGTAAAGGAGTGCCCCCTTTGGAAGGCGAGAGATCACTTTCATGGTCTCTAAGCTGCGGGGTGGTGGTACATAGATCTCCTTAGTATAACGGACAATTCCATCTTCAAGAGCGACAAGAGTGTTATTCCGACCAATTGCTACCTGCAATAAAAACAATCCATATAAATATGCATGTGTAAAGACAATGCAAGGATAACAAATTTTAACTAAACACTGCAAGCACCTGTATAACATAACATATTTCACGTACGCAGGATGTGAGGAGTGTTTTAATGCAAACAAACCTATCAGCACACAGCAAGTCCCCATCATTAAAATGACCAGATAATCTTTTCAGTGATGTTTAAGGGTTAAATGTTGATTAGGAGACTGCAAAACCACATTGTATTTCTCCAAAGAATGCCATAGGACTGCTTAGGTCTGCCTGACAGAGACTCATTTTAATATCTTGTAGAAAAGTCCGCACCTCTGACTATGCAGCAGTCCCTTAGTTCACCATTGAAGTAAGACCTTAAGCAGACCTATCCCCAGAACAATTCATACAGCTCAAAGCAGGTTATTGAAACAGAAAGGAATTTATAACTCATTTTCTTTGAAACTAGGAATGGGGCTCAGAGTTGACTTTTGTTACTTGACTAGTCTGTGCGACAGCTCTTCTAATTTCGGCACACAATTCCAGATGTTGAAGAAGATGACTTTGCTGGATTGACTGGACAAGTGTCAATGCCAGGTGGACTATCAGGCTTTCTTTGTTTGTTAATTTTTCTGCAGTGAATCATAGAATCCATACAGTGTGGAAAGAGGCCAATCAGCCCATCATATCTGCGAAAAGCATCCCACCGAGACCCAGTTCTCGACCCTATCCCCGTAATCCTGCATTTAGCGTAACCAATCCACCTAATCTGCACATCTTTGGACTATGAGAAAACTGCAGCACCCAGAGGAAACCCACGCAAACACAGCTGAATCAAACAAGACGTGGATGACTGCCTGGCTTTATAAGCCATTTCAGAGGTCAGTTAAGAATCAGCCAAATACAGGCCAGACTGGGTCAAGATGGCAAATTTCTGCTCTTAAAGGGCATTCCTGAACTAAATGGCATTTTAACGCAATTTAGTCATTTCATAATCATCATTACTGAGATGAGCATTTTAATCCAGATTTATTACTTATTTGAATTCAAATCCTTCTATCTGCAATGGTGAAATTTGAACTCATGTCTACAAAACATCAGTCCAGACCTCTGGATTACTACTCTGGTAACATTATCATTGCACTAATGTCACCATCCCGCTTCATCTAGTTCATCATCTTTTAATACAGCACTGGTACCCAAGCAACTCCACCTGCTTGATCTTTGCACCAATTCGCGGTCACTTGGATCACTGTCTGCCACCATGTGCTGACCTTTCATACCCATGACCCAGAAGAATTACTAGTTGCCAGTTTCCTGCCCAGTAGGGTGATCCTGACTGCTCAGGCTCCAATAATGTCCCATGTATTCTTCTCCCCGCACCAAGTATTCTGATCTGTTCCCAGTTTAAGTAATTCCACATGTATTCCAGGTAATTCTGGACAATTCCTTCTAACTTGAGTTAGTAGTATCCCACAAAGCATTCCAATTATTAAGAATCACTCCCACCTTAACTTCTAAGCCTTTAACAATGACGGATTTCAAGAGTGCAACAGACAAAAAGTGAGAAAAGTGGCAAATAAAAATCTGGTATCTGGAAGGATCTGAACACAAAATAATAATTCCTGCAACAAAATACGTGATTAGCTCATTAATTCCTTGTATTCTTCTTGTATCTAGCAATCTAGTCAGTCCTATTTCCTCCTGGTCCTGCAAGTTTATTCCTTTCAAGTGCCTGTCTGCTTTCCCTTTGAGTCATTTACCATCCCTGGTTCCAACACCTGTTTTCAGGTCATCATCACGTGCTGTGTTAAAAATGTTCTTCCTCACAATCACCCTGTATCGCTTTCCCAAAACCTTAAAAATGAGTTCACTAGTCCCTGTACCGTCCACTAAAGGGAACAGATTTTCTTTGTTTACCATATTATTTGTTTGAGGTTTCTCTCCCATAGATTCCCTAAGTGCAGAAAGAGACCATTTAAGCCATCAAGTCTGCACTGATCGTCCAAAGAGCATTCCACCCAGACCCACATCCTGAATGGGGATTTTACCATGGCTAACCACCTAAACTGCACATCCCTGGACACTACGGGGCATTTTTTTTTAGTATGGCCAATACACCTAATCTGCACGTCTTTGGGCTGTGGGAGGAAACAGGAGCATCTGGAGGAAACCCATGGGAGAACATGGAAAAAACCACACAGACAGTCATGCAAGGTTGGAATCAAATCCGGGTCGGTGGTGCTGTGAAGCAGTACTGTGCTAACCACTGTGCCACCATGAACCCAAATCTAAATCTTGTACACATCTATCAAATCTCCCCTCAATCTACTTTGATCCAAACAAACCCAAATTATCCAACCTAACTTTGTAATTCAAAACCGTCCTAGCCAGAACCATTCTGATAAGTGTCCTATACTTGATTTAAGATTGAAGTAAAATCCTTCAGAAATATGACAGATCTGGTCTCTGTCTCTCTTAGTTTGTCCTAAAGGTTCTACAGCAGTAACTTACATTGGCTCCTGGGTGCCAGCGAATCAGGCGCTGTGTTGCCAAAATGTTTCCTATACGAACAAAATCCCCTATGGAAATAAAGGCAAAAAGAGTTTGTCAGACATTTCCCCAGTTCTTTTTTGTGGTGGTGGGAGGGTGAGAAGAAAGAAAGACAGAGAGACTGAAACAGCAGGGCTCCAGTAATGGAACAAACTATGGAGAGAGTTCAGAGATAAGGAACATCCTCTTCCCTTCACCCACTGTTGCTTCTCCTGTACATCAAACGTCATTTTATATGTGACCAAATCCTATCCCCACACCCAAAGTTATAAAATATTTCACTGAGACCCCAGCTTGCTTCTCATCAATACCTCTAGGTTGCAAGTGGAATGTTCCAATTGGTATCTGAAGCAGAGAAAGGGAGAAGGGAAAAAAAAAAATCAGACAGTAATTCAGGTCTGGATGACTTTCCAGGATCCTCAACGGACTCTTAGTGGGTAGGAAACAGCTGCAAAATCCTCCACAGTTGAATATTCCACCATTCACAGGGAATCAGTAAAGTTGCAAAAAGTTAATGCTGTGCCAAAATGACATGTGGCACTTGTAAAGAGCAAGTTATAAAGAACTTGTTTATAAAGAACTTTACAACATAGCTCCAGATGTTCCAGTATGATTCACTTTGAGAACTGGGTAAATACAGCAGCCATAATGCCTTTGGTATTTTGTTCCTCAGGCAAGCTCAGCAGTAGGCTACTGCTTACATTCAAGACATGTAGTTAATGGGAAGTCACGTGTCAGTCCAGAACATGCCCCGATGCTAGGTGGCAGGCTAGTAACTGCAAAACTACACAGTTGGCCAGAGAAAGGATGTGGGCAAATATTAGTCCAGCTGTGGTTAGTCCTAACAATGTGATCTGACTTGCATTTCATATTTACTTTTGTTATTGCTTAGAAATTCTTATGGAGAAAATAGATACATCGAGCTATTCCACACACACACACACACACACACACACACACACACACACACGCGTACACAATTGGAATAGAACTACTTAGGTGAGCATATCACCTCTCACTGACCATCCCTGATGAAACATCCTAAGACATTATTGGATGCTGATACAAAAAATTGGAACTGAGGATCAAGCTTTGTTACCAAAGTCATGCTTGTAATATTTGCTACTCCTCAGGTGTAGGTTCATATGTTTTGTCTACATCTGTCACTGATGTTTAAAGAATAATTCTGGCGTAAGAGGCACTTATTTAAAAAGGACATGTTTCACCTTGACAAGATTGATGACCGGTGTACTCAATGGTAGAAGGTCTAGTTTGTCTAGTGAGGATTTAAACTGCCGGAGCGGGCTGCTGGAAGGTGGGGATAGGGGTGTAGGCATTGAGCACCAGCATACAGTAAAGAAACAAAATAAGGTGCATAAATGTGTAAGATTGTTGGACAGCATTACAGAAAGAATTAGTAACATTTTACATAGCAGTAGACTAAAAAGGATTACGAGGACTACAAAGACAGGTTTACGAATCAAAAACAGAAAGTACTGGAGAAACTCAGCAGATATGGCAGCATCTATGGAGAGAAAAACATAATTAATGTTTCACATTTAGTATGAATCTTCATCTGAACCGAAAGGAGCTGGAATATGTTTTGTATGTTGGTGGCTGGAGGGGGTTGGTGGGACAGAAGTGGAACAGATTGGGAGGTTGCCCAGAGCAAAAGATGAAAGTCATGATAATGGCAATATACTAGAGAGATATTTAAAAGGTGTGAAAAGGAAGAAATGGATCTGAGTGATGAGAGAAAAGCCAACGAGACACAATTTGGAAGGGAAGTATAAAAAAAAGAGGACAGCTTTAGAAAGCACATATGTAAGTATATAACATGTGATGAAAAAGGTTGGTGAGTTACAAGAACATATAAACATGTGGGAAAATTATGCAATGGCAATAACAGTAACATGGCTGAAAAATGGTGAGACCACTTACTATGCAAGGAAATAAAAGGTTCATAAAAAAAGGAAGAGAAAATGAGAGGAGGCTGGTAGTATGGACTTTATTGTTGAAAAGAGGACATGTACTTAGGGAGCAAAGAGAGAATTCCATTGGTGAGAGAAGCAAAATGGAGTAGAATCATGCTATTACCTATAGGCCTTCAAATAGGCATATTTGGCAGGGAATTCACACAGATGTGCAAGAACTACAAAGTGGTGATGTTGCAGTACTTCATCACAATCGACATTTTGGTAATTAATGTTATAGTAAAGGCTCAGGAAGGGGAGGAATTCCTGAAACATGCTCAGAAGAACCTACTTGATTAATATGTCTTGGACCAATCAGAAAGGAGGACTTGCAGGAGCTGGGACTGTGCCAAGTTTCTGCTGGCACTTGACTAAGAGTGATTATTGTACCATGATGTGGCAGTCTTTGCATTCCTCAGATTCTTAATCCGTTTTATCTAATATGATATTGCTGCATTATATATTACTCACACTCTCTGATGCACCTTATTCCTCTTTTCTTTTCACTGGTACGTACCACCTGTCAATTAAGCTTACACCTTCCGCAACCTATAATTAATAGGAATGTCCCTATACGTTTCTTGAATAAAGATGTTACATCTCCCACTCACCAATCATTTGGCATCTCTCCCAGAGCTAGGGAAGATTGGAAGACTATAGCAAATCCTTCGCTCCCCTTCCTTTAGCAAGCCATCTGGACTAGGTAACTTATTCTTTCTAAGTTCCCCAAGCTACAGCCCCTTTAGTTTAATATCAATAAGAGTAAACGGTCATAAGCAACAATCTGGGGAAAAGTAATCAATAGGCACTTGGAGAGTTTCATTAACGAGGGAGAATAACAGCAGATTTGTAAAAGACAGAGTGAACTTGACTAATATGATAGAAGGTTAATAAAAAGAATGCAATGGGTGGTGTCTATATGGATCTTTAAAAAGTCTTTAAAAGGGTGAGGTTGTAGACATGCTCGCCGAGCCTGTGGGTTTGGTTACAAATGTTTTGTTACCCTGCTAGGTAACATTGTCAGTGCACCTCCAGTGAAGTTTCGGTGTTCTGTCCCACTCGTTATTTATATGCCTTGGTTTGTTGGGGTGGTTGGTATTACTTCTGGCTTTGTTTCTCATAAGGTCTAATTCAATGTGTTCATTGATGGAGTTCCAGTTGGAATACCAGGCCTGCAGGAATTCCCTGGTGTGTCTTTGTTTGGCTTATACGATTATCGATGTGTTGTCCCGGTTGAATTTGTGTCCCATGTTGTCCGTGTAGTGAGACAAGTGAGAATTGGTCGTGTCTCTTGGTGGCTAGTTGATGTTTGTGTATCCGTACAGTCAATTTTCTTCTAGTTTGGCCTATGTAGTGTTTCTCACTGTCCTTGCATGGTATTTTGTATGTTACAAAATTTTGAGAAACAAAACCAGAAGTAATACTAACCACCTCAGCAAATCGAGGCATATAAATAACAAGTGGGACAGAACACCGAAACTTCACTGGAGGCGCATTGATGTTACCCAGCAGGGTGATGAAACATTTGAAACCAAACCCACCGGCTCGGCAAGCATGTCTACAACCTCATCCACAACCTGAGCTATAAATCATCTTGAAAATCTTGAAAATGGTCACAAAAAACGATTGTTAACAAAACTGAAGTTCATACAAAAAGAGGGTAGGTGGCAGCTTGGTTTAAAACAAGAGCGAGCTGTTTTTCCAGACTGGAGGGTGGTAGACTGCATTGTTCCCCCAAGGGTCTGCATGATGATACCAAATTTGGAAGTGTGATTTTTAAGCTCTTGAAGAATATAGATTTTAAAGTTGAGGAAAGTTACTCTCCCCATTGTTAATTAAGCAGCCTTATCCAGCTGTTATGGAAAAATATTACCATTAAAGGCCAGTATATATCATTGTTTCTTGGTTGATCTCTGTCTAATTGGCTGTGCATAAAATACGCTTTTGTTAAAACACGCAGCAGAGTGGAACAGCAGAACCATGCTGGCTCTATAATCCAAGATCGATGGATCAAAATCATCCTTTGCTATTTACATTTTAAAAGGGGTCTTGGGGCACAGTGGTATTATCCTTAAAAGGCTCAAGTTCAAATCCTACCTACTCCAGGGTGTGACATAACATGTCTGAACAGACTGATGAAGAATATTTATATCATTGCCTGAATGGTCTTGTTGCACAGTGGGAGTGTGTCTAACTCTGGACTGGAAGGTCTGGGGTGTAAGTCGCACCAACCATAGAGGTATGTCATAAATATTTGAACAGATGGATTTAAAATAATCATACCATCGCCTTTCTTCCATCCATATCGCCGACCTGGACTCTTCCCACCCAGATTTTTGGAACTGCCACCTGCCTTTTTGGATGCACATCTCACAGCAATAATTGCTGACTGTGGAAAAGCCAAAAATCCTATGGGAATATTAAAAACAGAAGGCAGGTTATCAAACGGGTATCTGGAGGAAGATGTTCTGAAACTGTGCTAGGTGAAATAGAAAAAGAAAATTGAGAAAATTACTGAGTTATAAGTCTGTCATGTAATTATGGAAAACACATTCAGTCAATTGCATTTATGTAGCATGTTTTAAAAATATCTAAAAGGTGTTTCAGATTCTAATTGGATGTAATATGGTTGATGCTGAATGACTGTTTCCCTGGAAATGAATCTCAAATTAGGAATTACAGTCTCAGTATAAGAATTTACCATTTCAGGTAAATTCAGGAAATGTAGTCTTTTCTGTCTGGGTCAGCACATACATGGCATAAATGTTACTGGTCACTTGTCAGCTCAAATGTGGACATTGCCAGTATCTGAGGAGTCGCAAATGCTGCTGCATGTTGTGCAGTCATCAATTCTGACTTTATGATGGAGCGATGGTCAACGATTCAGTCCATGAAAATTGTCGGGCCTAGGATGCTACCCAGAGGAACACCTACAGTAATTTCCTGGAATTGAGATGAATCACCTCTAATAACCACAACCATTTTCCTTTGTGCCAAATAGAACTCTAGTTTTGCCAGACATCCTTGATGCCACACTCAGTCAACAGCAGTCATTCTCTGGAGTTCACCTCTTTTGTCCATGCCTGGACCAAGGCAGTAATTTGGTCTGGAGCTGAGTGGCCCTAGTTGAACTCAAACTGAGCATCTTATTGTTAAGCAAGCACTGTTTGATAGCACTATTGATGACACCTTCCATCTCTGAACTGATGATCATCAGCAGATTAAAGGGGCAGTAATTGGCCAGGGTGGATTTGTCCTCCTATTTGTGTATATGTCAGGGTAAACATTTTTTCTACGTTGCCAGACAGTTACCCGAGTTGAAGCTGTACGACAACAGCTTGGTTCAAGTGTGACAACTTCTGGACCGCAAATCTTCAGCACTATTGCCAGAACGTTGTCAGGGCCAACAGCCTTTGCAGTATCCAGAGTGTTTGTCTTAAAGGCGGAACAAGAAATGATCAGAGTTGAAATGAAAAATCCTTCACTCAGTGAGTTGTGAATTCTAGATCATAGAATATGTTTAACTACTGAGCACTCTCTAGGAGAATCAAAAGCTATTTGACATGGCAGGAAAATTAAACGTAGGTCAAAGATTATTGATGACTTATTGAAAATGGGAGATGGCTTGAGGTGTATTACGGCCTATTCCAACTTTTCACATTAACAGGAGTGAAACCACTCAAAACAAAAACGAATTTAAGGAGACAACAAGATGTAGAGCTGGATGAACACAGCAGGCC